TTATTGTCATTTTTGTATGTTGGCAGCCGGGACGGCTGCAAGCTATGCGGGGGGGGGGGGGGGGGGGGGTGATGTAGGGGTGTTAAAGAGAGGGCCCGTTATGCATGGCAGCCTATGGAAAACAAACACAGTGGGCGGGGCTACGTAAGTGCACGAGGAGGTGCCCTCTACGACGTCCGAGCCAGACACCCTGGGGGGGGGCTGGTTCGAACGTTATGATCCCCCGGGGCCCCACCCCTCAGGGAGGGGTTGGGTATAAAAGGGGATGTTCAAAGGGCTCGAGTCAGTTATGTTTAAGCTAAGGGAAGAAGACTGAAGACGTCTTAGATAGAGCCCTGGACTCCCCTAGTTCGATGTCCTTTTCAGGGCCGGACAGGACTGAGCCAGCGGCGTGGTCCCGAAAGCCAGAGCCGGTGCTCTTGTAAGAGCTGGTCTGGAACTCCGGGTACCGGGCCCGACTTACCAGTGTCGGGCCAGTTAGCCTCCCCTAGCCCATTAGTGGAGGATTCGGGGCTAGGACAGAGTTAGCTAGGGGTGTATCCCGAGTTATACGGGTGAGGGGGCCGATACCCCCTCGAGTGTGTATATGCCCACTGTCGTATTGTGAAATAAATATACGTGTGCCTCAACCTCGGCGTCAAGCGTCTTCACCGGTACTTCACAGACACGAGTCTATGAATCTGCTCATAAGTGCAAGCATTAGGTTTCCATCGAGGAATTGGTTGACTCGATCTTGGCAGAATTAGCTAATAAAGTTATAGTGTCAAGCGTTGGGTTTGTGGATTTTTTTTTTGGGATATGGCGAAGCTGCGAGCAGTCATTATCAAAAGTATTCATCTGCAGTGTTTTTACCGCGTTCAGAATGTAGAGCTGTGTTGATTCCTCAGTGTAAGTGCGGGGTGGTTCGATGGAAGGTGCGCTGCGTGCTGCTTGTGACCTTACACTTAGCAGGCGACACACTCGAATAAAGCGATGCCGACAATATCTCAATGATTGCTACTTCAGTTTGTTCCATTCCAATATCGCCACCATTGTGGCAATGTTGGGTTCAACAACTTGACTAACAATTGGAGGGGTTGTAAGTTCGAATTCCTATCAGGGGCAGTGGCGGCTCCTGCAAAATCTCTCAGGGGGGGCAAATGTCTGGATGATTGATAAGGATAAGGTCCACCCATGCAATGAATAAATTAACAGCTTAAGCATGTAAAGGCAACTTCACTTCTTTAATATTAATGAAAAATAAAGTGACTCTTACAATACATCTTGTTTGTTTATATACTCACTATTAAAACAAACCACTCAAGTTTATTTTATTAAAGATTCCACTAGGTAGCGATAAATTATATTGTTGGATGAAACGTGCTTATGTAGGATGACGTTAGCACGTATGATGACGTAAGCACGTTAGGGCTCGCCCTCCCGGAAGCCATAGAGAATGCATGGGAGCGCCCCCGTTCGAAAAAAAACATCTTTGAATGTAAGTCTATGGGGCCACTCGGGGCGATTCTCAGCCGGAGTGAAATCGCCCCAAAAGAGGCGGTACTCCACAAAACGTGACATGACGCTGATTGGACTATATCTAGAGGCTGACAGTGACGGCTAGCGTGACTGTGGTTGAATGACATTGGTGGTGCGTCGCCCAATCGCCCTAATGAAGAAACCGCCCCTGATCAGGGGTGAGACTTTGCCCATCATGTCAATGATCAGTGGTCGATGAAATAAGTACCATTCTATCGACAGTGATATATTAGCCCGCAAAGTAGGAATGTGGAATTTCCTCCTCTGGCTCAAAGTAACAGAGTTTAACTCGACCACTGTGCTCGTTTGAGCTGGCAGACAAGTTGGAACAGATTGACAGCTACGTGAAGCAGTGGTGGTAGAATATAAGCACGTTAACACAAGCTAGACGAAAGGTAGCATTCGCCAGCGGTTAAGTCAAGCATTTTACATTGTTATTATTTACATACGTAACATGTCATAAAATGGGTCTCAAATCCCTTTTTCAGGTAGGTCGTGCCTGGGAAAATGTGTAAATTCCTTGCGTGAATAATTTCACATGCAGGAGGAAACTGGAATACCCGGAGAATAGCCGACGGGGATGTGGGAATAACGCCACTGAATTCATACGCATTGTCTAGCACCTCTGCTCAGTCTTCAGCTCTAAACCTTCATCGCTTTGAAATAACTCTACACAATGAAGGAATCCCGGGAATTCTCGACAATAAATACCGAGGCAGTGTGTGGTCTTGCGTACGTAAAGGCCACATGTGCAATGCGGTACAGGAAGTCAAAATGGATTTAAGAGTAAGAAGGAAAATAGAACGTGCCAGTGCCACACTCAATCAACCGAGACTTTGTGTGCTGACGGAGCGATATGCTTACGTCCGCAAGGGGTTGGCGTGCAGAGAATTATATTAATCCCTGGAGACGCAGAGCGGCTTTCACGGTTCGGGTGAACGGCGAACACCTGATTCGCCGTGTGTCGCAGTGGGTGTCGCGGTGCTACCGTGGAAGGCAACAAAAAGAAAACGTTTCGAAAACAAAACGGCCTCATCATTCGCGTCGTTGGCGTCGCAGAGTGCGCCCTCACACTCGAGGGAAGTCGTGTTGAACGCAACCGTTGAATCTAGATTTGAAGTTTTCGTGACTGCAGGGATCCATACTCTTTGGTTCTTTCGGTAAAGTCACGTAGGTATAAAAAATGAAATAAAATTTATCACGACGTTTCGGGCGCAACACAAGCGCCCGTCATCAGGTGGTACAACCACAGCAATTGCGTATCATCTCATAGAGTCATCCCTGGCATGTTTCTTGCTGTGGTTGTCCCACCTGATGACCTGATGACGGACGCTTGTGCTGCGCCCGAAACGTCGTGATAAAATTTATTTCATTTTTTTATACCTACGTGACTTTACCGAAAGAACCAAAGAGTATGCAACCGTTGGTCTTTACGTAAACCGGCCGTCGCGTTCGTGGAAGTCGGCAGACGGCTGCCTGACACGCGATCGTGGAGTTTCCACCACTTTCTCGTGTGGAAATTAGCACCCCCCCCCACCCACCCCCCCCCTATCATTTGCGTGAACGGAGACGCACGTTTTGATTTCACTTGAATTGCACAGAACCACAGTGTCGCATATCCGACCCTCACAAATTACCCGCCCTGACCAATTGACCGCCCACGCCTGATGCAGTACGGTGGGGTGACGGCCATTTTCCAAAGATCAATGGCGGAGGCAGGATTTTCAGGTAGGGGGGGGGGGCAACCCCTCCAGCAATGCAAAATTATAGGAGTTGTTAGTGAGTAAGGACTTGTCCCTTGCTTTTAATTCGACACGTGTGCGGCGATGGCGTGGTCATTGATCGAGGGTCGAATTCGAACCGTGTGTGATCGGCATCGCGCTCGCTAAAGGTGAATGCCTTCAGGGAAGTCGTGTGCTGTATACGCAACTGCGCACAATTCTGTGAGTCACTTATAACTGCTTTGCCGTTACTTATTGGCAATTATGGACTCAGACTATTGTCCTATCATCTCATAGAGTCCCTGGCACGTAATAATATGCTACACAGTGGCAGTGGGGGTCGCAAAATGCCGATGTATTACTAATAAACCCGAATGATCCAATCGAAATTAAGGATTTCGATCGAATCATTGGGGGGGCACATGTCACCCCCCCCCCCCCCCCCCAGTGCCAAAGTTGTTCCGGTATCTGACATTTTCACATTTCCGCCGATACCACGGTCCGCGCCGTAGTCACATGCGATCTGTCACATTGGCCATCAATGCAGGCAAGTGAAACAAGCGCGTTCGGGGTTTGTCGATCTATATACAAACAAGCAAAAAAATAATCAGTTGTCGAATGAAATGTCTCAGGAGGGGCCCAAGGGGATTTTATTCCAGATCCCTTCAATGGTGGGTCTGTTTTTTGTATATCCTGGTCCCCCCCTGAGTTTTGTGTAAAGAGGGACCGGTTGACCGAACGAAGTGTAACCACTATTCTCATATTTTTTCTGACAATGCTTTCTTCTGTGCAATAATTAGTGATCGTGCGGAGAATGTCAAAGCCTGTCACACACACACACGCACACACACACGCACGCACACACACACACACGCGGGCGCTCACAAGAGAGACGCCGGTTTCACCCCGCGATGTGAGCCGAGGGTTGTGGCTCGACACCGCGTTCGCTCGGGGCAATTGGCGCAGCATTTGCCCGCCCACCCCCCTCGAGCAGCCCCAGCCACCTTCAAATGACAGTTAACGGAAGAGTAAAACGATTCCATGTGTGCCTGCAAACACACACACATGCATGTATGTATGCGACCGTCTCTGAGGATAAATAGGGGGGGGGGGGGGGGGGGTGGTTGCTTTCTCCATGCGTTTGGACGCACGTGCGCGTGTGTGGTGGTGGTGGTGGCAAAGTGGTTCACGTACTGCGCTACGAACCCGGTGACCTGCCGTGACTCAGTGGTGAGGGATTATCAGAACTGGTCCCGGGCCTTCCCCCCGGGCCGACGACTTAAGCCTTAAACGAGAACCTGATGCCGCGTGTAAACATCGGCACTGGGGAGACAAAGGCGGCCGGGCGTAGTGCTGTCCCTCCCCTCCCACCCCGCTCGTGTGCCGTGCCAATTTCTTGCCCAACCGATATACTTCATCCCACCTAGAATCGTGAATAAAGCAACCCCAACCAGCACAGACCGTTTGCTCGACCACAGATTTCAAATTCATAACATTGCACGCAAGTCCATGAAACTTAGGGGGACATTCACCCCACCCCCCCGCCCCCCCCCCGATTTCACCATCAACACGATCAGCACTTCCACCGCACCTCCGATTAGCACGGTTGGCTACGTACGGCGCAAAAGAAATTCAACGTACATATGTACGTGCCAGCCTTTATGGGCGCTCACAAACATCACTCGACCTCCCCAACAGTTCATCACAAAACTATCTGGGGGGGGGGGTTGTTGTTGTTGTTGTTTGTTTGTTTGGTTTCAGCCGGGCCTCGTGATCTCCCACCACGCCGACCAGACACTCAGCAGCTTCTGCCAGTGGCAGGCCGGTGTATCGGGCCGCAACGGTGCCCGTCACGACCACGCCATCCTCCTCACCGGCTTGGACATCTGCTCCTGGCAAAACAAGCCGTGCGACACCCTCGGTACCACCACCACCGCTCTGACCTTCGCATTCCGCCTTTTTGCTTGCCACGGCAGCCGTCATCCTCTTAGTGGCCATAGAGGTCTCGGCAGGGACGGTCGTGGCTCTATGCACGCCAGTAATCCACCCGCTGGAGGAAAGGGTTGGTGGGGGGGGGGTCTCGCAGATGTTGCGGAAAACTCCCTTCCTGTCGAGGTGGTGCCACACACCGGCTCGCCGGCAGACGGCGGCACAGCAACACGCGGACTCCACCTGTTGCATCTGCACTGGGAAGTTGTTGCTCCCGCTCACCCGTGAGTTATCCCCCTCTCGCGTGTGACCGCTCAGCGATGGGCCGACAACGCCTTGACACGTAGAGGACCGCAGAGCTGGGTGGGTGCTTGGGCGCAGGCTTGCCGCGTGGCCGCTGACTTTGGTGGGATCCTTGGGCCTCTTTGAGTCGCTCTCGCCCTTCTGGAGGGAGCGACGACTCTGCGGCACATTGCAAGTTGAGGTCATTTATTATAATTGCAGATCTGTCAACCTCTTTCCGACTTGTACCTGCTCCTCGGCTTCCTGCACTTTGTTGTAGCACCCTCTTGGCTTGGAGACTATTCTTGAAAACTCATGTTTCGCTAGGGGGGGGGGGGGGGGGTCGGGGATTAAACCAAGAGCCCCTGGTGCATTGAAATGCTTCCGATGCATAAGGTGTTTAAAGGATACAACACTGAGGCATCACCCAACATCACACACTGGGAGAACTCACCTGCTGCAGCATGAGAGAATCGCTATTGTTATGCCGGGACGTGGGGCATTCATGAGTGCAAGACTTGAACTAAGTGGTCGTGCGTTTGTGTGCGTGTGTGCGCACATGTGTGTGTGTGCGTGTGTGTGCACATGCGTGTGTGTGTGTATGGGGAGCGATGGCGCAACGGTTAGCGCGCTGTGCTACACTGGTGTTGACCGCTCACGGTCAACACCAGTGACGATTATCTGAACCGGTCCTGGGCCTCCCCTAGGTCGACTCAGCCTTAAATGAGTACCCCGTGCGATGTGTAAACATCGCCACTGGGGAGACAAAGGCGGCCGGGCGTGGTGGTGGCCACCCACCCCCTCGTGAGCCGTGCTGGCCTTCATAGTTGCTCACTAACTACACTAGCCCCAACAGTCTGTTCAGGCGATACGGGAGATGTTTGTCGTTGTATGTGTACGGGGAGTGGTAGTGTCGTGGTTAGCATACTGTGCTACAAACCCAGTGACCATGAATTGGTTTCCCGCTCGGTGCCAATAACGGTGATGAATATCTGAACCAGTCGTGGTGATCCCCCCTAGATTGACTCAGCCTTAAATGAGTAGCTCGTGCAGTGTGTACGCATCAGCACCGGGGAGACAAAGGCGGCCGGGCGTGGTGCTGGCCACCCACCCCCTCGTGAGCCGTGCTGGCCTTCATAGGTGCTCGCTAACAGCACTTGCCCTCAACAGTCTGTTAAGGCTATACGGGGGATCTTTGTCTTTGTCAACCCACGATACCTGGGTCTGTCCCGTGACCTCCTGCCAGCAAAGCCTTTGACGCTCCATTGTGGCTTCCAAGTGCCTTTAGCCTGACACGAGCTTGGTGATAATTTCACCGTCACCTAGTGACAAATGGCGACTGTTGTTATTGTTGGTCGTGTTGTGTGCTGTGTGTGCGCGTGTTTTCTCACCGTGCAGGCTTTGCGCCCATCAGCGGGATGTGCAGTAAGTACCGCAGCTGCACGGTGAATGAAGACTCTGGACTGGGAGTCGCCTTCACTATCGCTCATGAGTCAGGACACAAGTGAGTACGAACATATATATATATAAGCACACACACACATGCACAAAACAAAATAAAGATCTTTCGATTTAAAGCTTCTTTCGTGACTGCAGGAATTCATCTTCTTGGTTCTTTCGGTAAAGTCACGTAGAATGGAAATAATAAAATAATAAAAATAAAACATAATAAAATAAAATTCTCACGACGTTTCTGCTTCTTCAGCTGAGGCCGGCTGCTTGTGTTGTGGCCGAAACGTCGTGAGAATTTTATTTTAATATGTTTTATTTTTATTATTTTATTATTTCCCTTCTACGTGACTTTACCGAAAGAATAATTCTCACGACGTTTCGGCCACAACGCAAGCAGCCGTCCTCAGGTGAAGAACAGGTCTGTCAGAAAGACAGCGTCTGAATGAACACCACTAGGCTTGAAAGCGTATATTTAAACTGGGTTGGAGGGGGAAGAGCGCCTTGACAAAGGAATTTGCATATCAAGAGGAATTTAGCATATTTATGGGAAATGCAGGTATGTGATTAGTACTACTTATGCCCGTGCATTATGCAGGATTAGCAGCATCAAAGGGAGGGGATATGGGAAATAAATATCCCCTGTAAAGTCATACAACTTTTGTCATACGTGCTGTTAGCGAGCACCTTTGGTGGCCGCAAGTGGCAGGCGTGGCGAGAACAATGCCTGCCCACCTTTGTCTCCCCAGTGTTCATGTTGGCACACTGTGTCAGGTACTCATTTAAGGCCGAGTCGACCTAGGGGAGGACCAGGACTGATTCAGATAAAACTTAATCACTTATAGAGTGTGAACCCCCTCCAGCAAACTTGCATTCAAGACAAAGATCTAACCATGTCGCCTATGCAGGTTGTTGGAGCAAGTGCTGTTAGCGAGCACCTATGAAGGCCAGCACTGTGTACTCATTCAAACCTGAGTCGATTCGTGCACAGCATTATAATCGCATCTACAAAGGCAATTGAAGGTATGCAGGATGTATCTGTCGCTATATTCAAAAGTGTGTTACACAACAGATTTAGACCACGAGTAAACTCAACAATTGGCATCAATTTTTATATTGGAATATTGTCGTTGAAGGCCTGGCACCACACTCGCTGCTTCTGTGCCATTATGCACAAGCACATGCACCACATTCACACTCAGTCGTGTGCAGTAGGCTATGTTTAATTGCTGATTAGCATGGTTGGCTGCGTACAGTACGAAATAAGTTCAACATACATACACTCGAAGCGAGGAAACGTTTAATCGATCAACTTGTTATTCCATGTGCGTGTACATATGCCTTCCACGTTACCACATTTGTTTATCAGCTTTTATTAACTTAACAGATGAGGTTTCTGCAGCAAGTATTGTGATTCATGGTCGAGTTTTGGATTGGGATACATGGGCACATGGTCTAACCCAAAAATAAACTATGAATCAAGCTTGTGTTGGTTTTAAATTAAATTGCCTCTGGTACATTGCTTGGTTATTTTAAAATAAATGGCTTGTAATAAGTCGAAGTGTTGTTCATTCATATGAATTATGTTTTACGTAAAGCCCTCCGATACGCCTTTATTGATGCGACGTGCACTCTCTATTTTGAATACGTAAAAAAAAGTATTGATTTATAGTTTTATACACAGCGACCTCTGACTCATCTAAATTCCACCGCTTCTCATCAGTCAGACGTGTCCTCGTAAGACAACGAGACTGTAGAGCCAAATGTCACCCCGTCCACGCACAGCATAGGGCGAAGAGATGAACTCCTGAGTAGTCGGTAAAGCTTCATCACTGCCTTCGTGTGCTGAACCAGTGATCGCACTTGAAAGCTGGCTCGTCCAGGACGCTCTTAGTTTTATTATAAAGTAGCCGTGCGCCGCCCGCTCATTCCTACCCTACACTAATCGTGTGCACATCAACAACGTAGCGAAAGAAAAAAAAAACAACTCAACGGATTCCTTCAACAACACTGTGGCCTTAACAGGAAGAAAAAAAAAAGTTGCAGTGTGCAACGTCTTGGGCAATGGGGGGTCCCTTCTTCATAGCACGTAAATGAACAATGTCAACGTCAACAATATAAACGTCAACAATGTCAACGCCTCGGAGGCGCATTGCTGCTTCCGAAGCAGATACGCCTCATAAACGCGCCCGCGCGTGCGTGCGTGCGTCTGTGCCGCCGATGAACAGCAATCCTTTGCCATCACGACGGCGTTGTCCATAGAGCATGACTAAAGTGTTTACGTACACGCTTGCGCTGCGCGGTCCGCACACGGACATTATATGCATTTCATTTGAGACCACCCCAGTCGCGGCCTCGTCACACGCGGGTGCTTGCCCACGTGAAAATTAACTTGGCCGGTTGAGGATTCTGTGAAAATAAACTCGGTACGGGTCTTTAGGCTCTTCCCCACGGCCTTCAAAAACCAATAACTCCACTTACGCGAACCGAGGCTTTCAACGCGGGCTTTCAATGCAGTCGTAGCATGGGGTTGTGTTAACAGCGCCGGTCGGACTGCGTCACAAAGAAGGATGGGGGGGAGAGGCGGTAAGCAATGAAAAATGAGGGCGACCCTTCCTGAGCGATACGTAGCAAAGAGGTGGGCAGACTCAGAGTTGGCATTAAGCCCTTGAGATATTGTCTGTAGCCTGGATGGGTTTTCGCTTATCCAAGGAAGACGATGTAAGCATTCCGACTTGCTTGTTTAGGAAAAACCTTCAATATTCTTGGTTCTTTCGGTGAAGTCACGTAGATAAAAAATAAAAATAGTAAAATTAAATTAAAATTAAAAATAAAAGCAAAAAACCCACGACGTTTCGATCGCAACACAAGCGGACTTCATCATGCGTCTGATGAAGACCGCTTGTGTTGCGATCGAAACGTCGTGGTTTTTTTTGCTTTTATTTTATTACTTTTGTTTTCTATTTACGTGACTTTACCGAAAGAACCAAAAATATAAATTCCTGCAGTCACGGAAGTTCAAGTCAAAACCTTCAATGTTTGAGCTTGGTGGTGATGGTGGCAAAGTTTGGCCAGGTGGCACTTTGGTTCGAATGCTTCATTTACAAACAGAAGCTTGTGAGCTCAAGTTGCTGATTGTGGTTTACTCTGCACATCATCAGTGCTAATTGTATGGTTAGACTGGCACCACCCCTGGGTATATGGAATTTCCAATACTGGCTTAGCACTGCCACCATTTAGGAGTATCGTTAAATTATCATACGATCATGGTAACACGTTGATGATACATTAAAGGGTTGTGAGAGGGACCTCTGATTTGTAAGCCGGGGTAGATGTTTTTGTGCGTGTGTTGGGGTCTGGGTAGACTTCATCAAAGGTCCTCTCCTTGATACCAGAAATGGAAAATTTATAACCCCTTTCACTTATTTTTCCATTCCGGCACAACATAGTATTTCTGTGCGTTTAAGAATGTGCTTGTTTATTCATAAAATATCGTAAATTATTAAGGATAGGAGTATAGTGGGAAATGTAGAGACATCAGACGTTAAATATTTGTTTAAATCTCCAAAATATAGCCTCTCTGAAGTATCCCAACAACGAGCAGTTCATAAATTCAGTTTAAGTAATAATTCACGCATCCATTTGGGTGGCAGGCAGGGTGGTACAGTGGTAACGCTTATGGATTTGGTTGTATGCTTTTTGTGAAGAGAATGAACGTAAATTAACCCTTAGGAAAATTGTACATTTGGAGATCACTGCTATGGGTGTACATGTTTTTCCCTATTCTTAGGTTTTTTCGGTAAAGTCACGTAGGTAAAAAATTAAAATTAATAAAAGTAAAATAAAAATAAAATAAAAATCACGACGTTTCGGAGGCAACACAAGTCTCCGTCATCAGGTGGGACCGTCACAGCTAAATTTGCTGTATCAAATCTAGCTGTGACAGTCCCACCTGATGACGGAGACTTGTGTTGCTTGTGTTACCTCCGAAACGTCGTGATTTTTATTTTATTTTTATTTTACTTTTATTAATTTAAATTTAATTTTTTTACCTACGTGACTTTACCGAAAAAAACCTAAGAACATGAATCCTTGCAGTCACGAAAGCTTCAAATCTAGAATTAATGTATTCCCCTCCCTATCCCACTTGCATCGTGATGGTGCTCTCAGTGTCTTGTCATGAGATGCAGACATTTAATTCTGAACTCTCACAGTAAGCAGTACACTACCTTGTGTCATAGAGCAGCCGAAGAAGATGGCATGGGACGATTACTTCTGAAGCCTATTAAATATCCCTCTTTAACCATACACATTAGGTGTGCCCTGCAAAGTGCATTTGCCAAAAATGTCAATGAAATGATATGTATTTCATTCTCAGAACGGAAATAATATTAAGTGGAAAAACAACATTCAATATCGTGAATTTTTGTGTGTATGCCGTCTTTGGTGACTGGGGTGAGATCATCACCTCGATGCACTCATGAGCCCAGATATATCACAGGCGGATGTCTGGATTTGAACCCAGAATCTCCAGTGGTGCTTGCTGAGAAGTGCTCTGACATGACATTCGCCTTCTGCACTAAAAACCCAGCCATCTCCAATGTGCTTTACATTTCTTTTCTGTTTTTTATTCGGAACATTTGCTCGTAATTAAACACGCACGGAGACAAATGCACCATTGTTGCGTGTATGGTCAGAATACTGAGTCAACTTCTTTCAAAATCGTACCTAAAAACTGCAGATGGGACAGACGTAAACCTCTTAAAAGCCATTCTTGAAGGCGAACAGCTAGTGGGGCATATTCCTGTTAAATGTTCTCATCATCAACAACACGATGTCAAAGCAAATGATGTTTTGTCAGTATCTCAAAGGCTCAACGGGGAAGGATAGTGTTCAGCATTCTTTTTTAAACGAGATTTAATGTTTTTTGGCAAACAAATTCCTAATAGTACATTCTGCATTAAAACTGATTGTTACTCACTACTATTAAGACTGGGTTACACATGCAGCATAAATAATGTGGCAATAATTTCTTCCCACTTTTTAAAACAATTA